CCACTGTCACTTTAAACTTAACTACTTTTATAAACACACGCTATAATTCACAGTGATTCACATACTTTACTTACGGTGCCTACTGCTCGCTTGACTCGATTATCTCAATTATTTCTTTTCAATCTATCTCCAGCTTATATACTAAAAAAGAGGGCATCTAGAATGCACTGGGGCCTTCATGATCCTTCTAGAAACTCATCACGTGTTACCAGCATCATGTGACTTCCGCTGTCGTAACAGTCCATTAATTTGGACAATATTAAGTTAGATGGAAAAGTTATCTATAATTATCTTATAGCAATGTTTTTAAGACATTTAATATTTCTAAAACAAAAATAGCAATACATTGTCTGTGAGACCTTTAGCATCTATTATACATTGTTTTGGTTTTAACTTTCAGTAAATATTTGCTGATGATTCTTGAGTTGATTCTTTGCTAACTATTGCACATGAAATGCATAATACAGTTATTTTCCACCTAGGTTGACTGCTGTTAAGGGGTGGTGTCATGGTGACAAATAACCTGCAAAATATGGACAACTGTTCCTTAAAAGTTTGAATAGTGGTACATTTTTTGTAGCTGTGAACCCATTTGAAATATAGGTTAATTTAATAATTTTAACAAAGAGCTGCCACTTTGAGATTTGTGGATAAAAACTAAATATCTTGAGATATGTAGGTGAAGGTTTATAAATTGATTGTGTACATATTATTTGTTTTACAAGTGGGGTACCTCATGGCTCAGTGTTAGGACCTTTGTTCTTTGATTTGCATTAATGACATAGATGAAGGAATGGTCAATAAATTATTTAAATCTGCTGATGATAGTAAACTTTTGGGTGTTGCTGACTGTGAGGAGGAAGATGTTGCTCTTTAAAAGTATTTCTATTATTTCTTTAGTTAGATGAATAAATGGCAGATGGGTTATAATTTTAATAAATGCAAGATAATGCATGTGGGATATCACAATTTGATTTATGAGTATAATTTTGATGGGAATAACCTTAAGAATATCATAGAAGAAAAGAATCTTGGTTTTCTAGTTGTTCAATCTCTTAAGCCATCCAAAGAATGTGCTACTGTTAGGGGCAGGGCAAATAGAATTTTAAGATATATCTACTGAAATATTGAATACAAGTGTAAAGAGATTATAATGTCATTGTATAGGTCATTGGTTAGACAACATTTGGAGTACTGTGTTCATTCTTGGACTCCTTAACTTAGAATGGACATTGAATTATTAGAAAGGGTTCAGAGGAGGGTACCAGGATGGAAAGGTTGCCATACAAAGACAAGTTAAAAACTGCTTTCTCTTGAGAAAAAAAAAGTTGGAGGGAATCTGATTGAGGTGTTTAAGATTGTTAAGGGGATTGATGGTATTGATGTATCATCTTTATTTCATATTTAACTGTAAGACTCGTAAGACTAGGGGACACAAATATAAATGTTGGCAGGGTAGGAGTCATCTTTAGCTATATTTTTCTAACAGGATGGTTGCCTTCAGATGTGGTAGATGCAATTAATTTGAGGAAAGGCTTGAGAAATGTTTGAATGATAGGGGCTGGCTTTGAATGTTTCATTTTTACTTTTGAGTTTAATATATATATATATATATATATTGTGGATGGGATGGCCTAGATAGACCAACAGCTTCCTTGTTGTCCTTAAATCATTTTGTAGCTGTTAATTTTTTTACTGGTTATATAAATCTGGATCTTTTTTTTTGTAGTAATGCATGCAGTTGGCTCCTTTGTATACACTGTATGTGTATTGTTATTGTTAATTATATTTAGTGCAGAAAACATCATTGTAGACACCTTCACTCCTTAACAACACATCCTTATCCTTGTAATGGCTTTCTGTAATTATCATTGTTTGATACATAAACAAGCCACTTCAAAACTAAGAAAAGGTATTACACAAAGTACTTTTTACAGTATTAGTTTTACCAAACTGTAATGTGTTTTTACTACCAACAACTTTTATCTGATTTGGACTAAGATGAAGTACATATTTAACTTAAATATTAAAAAAAGGATTAAAGATATTTTTCTCTTTTGCATACAAGTAAGTTCTGATTATATTTCATACACATCTGAGTAATTTTTTCTTTTTACTGAACTGCTGTTTAGATGCTAGGAAATTTCAAAGTATACTGTATAAATCTGAAAAATATCAGATTTTGCATAACACTGTGGCTGTATAATTTATTTTAATGCTGTTTTCAATGTTCTGAAATAGTGTGGTACTCTAGTCTATATATTTGTAAATGTTGAGCTTTCACCTGTATCAAGCCGTTTAAATACACTGTCTGATAAACTGTTTTTGACCTTGCTTGGATTTCTTTGTATCGAGCTTGAATTACCAGTGAGTGAGGTTCTACAATGGGTTCTAGTTAGACTTGTGGCCAGCATTTTAAATGCACCACATGCACAAGTTTTTTTTACTAACCTTGGCTAGATTTCTTTGTACCGAGTTTGAATCACCAATGAGATGACGTAAAGTGGGCAACGCACATTATCATGCTGTTATATAGAGGCAGGAGGTTGCTGATATTATGCCTACCTTCCCACGTGGAAAGGACATTGGCAAGGAACACTTAAAAAACACGTCTTTCAAGTTTCATATTACTTAAGTTAATACTCATTGATATGCCAGAATCCTTTAAACACGATGTCTTCCTTCATTGTTTAAAAGTGGAAACATTCTTGCGAGGTTGATCTAAAGGAGTATTGTATGCAAAACAATTTTTTTTTTAAACAAACACTTAATTGGTAGTCTGCAAAGGCAATGTACTGTAACATAGAAGCTGAAAAACTTGTTTTGAATTTATAAAAACAAATCACAGTAGTTATTTGTCATTGGCATATTTTTCAACTTCAACTTATTCAGTTAGCTCTATTCTCTGTGGTGTACTGAATATTATATTGATGACATTCTGATATTCTTAAAAGAAATGTACAGATTGTTTTTATTGAGCTTCCCATATTTTGAAACTATCATGAAATATTTGATACATATGCTATATAAAAGAACTTTATAATGTAGTGTGTATTTCATGTAGTATTAGGTATACTGTGTAGGCAATGATGTGCTATCTTGACAGTAATCTACGTGCATAAAAGTTATCATATCCACTTCTATCACTTGAAACTAGTGTTGTAGAATCATTGATTATTAAATCATGTTGTTATTCATTTCTGTCTCTAAAATTAGCTCCTTGCAAATACTGATTGTTAAGTCATGTTATGGGGACATTTAACACTAGAATAAGATATATTGGATGATTTTTGTTTACTACCCTTAGCACCTGAAAACATTACTCTAGACACCTTCAGTCCTGGATGTATATTGTTATTGTCTTTATGACAAAAAATATTATTGTAGACACCTTCAGTCCTGGATGTGTTGTTATTGTAGTTATCTTTGACACAAAAAAATATTATTGTAGACAACTTCAGTCCTGGATGTGTTGTTATTGTAGTTATCTTTAGCACAAAAAATATTATTGTACACACCTTCAGTCCTGGATGTGTTGTTATTGTAGTTATCTTTAGCACAAAAAATATTATCTTTAGCTCAGAAAATATTATTGTAGACACCTTCAGTCCTGGATGTGTTGTTATTGTATTTATCTTTAGCACAAAAAATATTATCTTTAGCTCAGAAAAATATTATTGTAGACACCTTCAGTACTGGATGTGTTGTTATTGTAGTTATCTTTAGCACAAAAAATATTATCTTTAGCTCAGAAAATATTATTGTAGACACCTTCAATCCTCATGTGTTGTTATTGTAGTTATCTTTAGCTCAGAAAATACTATTGTAGACACCTTCAGTCCTGGATGTGTTGTTATTGTAGTTATCTTTAGCACAGAAAATATTATTGTAGACATCTTCAGTCCTGGATGTGTTGTTATTGTAGTTATCTTTAGCACAAAAAATATTATTGTAGACACCTTGAGTCCTGGATGTGTTGTTATTGTAGTTATCTTTAGCACAGAAAATATTATTGTAGACACCTTCAGTCCTGGATGTATTGTTACTGTTAATTATATTTAGTGCAGAAAATATTATTGTAGACACCTTCAGTCCTGGATGGGTTGTTATTGTAGTTATCTTTAGCTCAGAAAATATTATTGTAGACACCTTCAGTCCTGGATGTATTGTTACTGTTAATTATATTTAGTGCAGAAAATATTATTGTAGACACCTTCAGTCCTGGATGTGTTTTTATTGTAATATTATGTTCATTTAGTCATTTTGCTATATAGAATTGGAATAATTAATTTTGGAGTCGTTTTTATTTCTCATCTATGTTGTTAGCATACTTTTAATTAGAACTTCTTAATAATGTAGTTTTAAATACCTTTCAGCACCTGAAAACATTGTCACTATGAATACCTTTGACTCATGAAACACTGTAGACATCTTCAGTTCTGAACACATTATTGTGTTGAATACTTTCAACAGTAAGCATCTTCAGTTCTGAACACATTATTGTGTTGAATACCTTCAACAGTAAAGATCTTCAGTTCTGAACACATTATTGTGTTGAATACCTTCAACAGTAAACATCTTCAGTTCTGAACACATTATTGTGTTGAATACCTTCAACAGTAAACATCTTCAGTTCTGAACACATTATTGTGTTGAATACCTTCAACAGTAAACATCTTCAGTTCTGAACACATTATTGTGTTGAATACCTTCAACAGTAAGCATCTTCAGTTCTGAACACATTATTGTGTTGAATACCTTC